TGGTTTTTTTTTTTTTTTTTTTATTTTTTCTTTTTTTTTTTTTTTTTTTTTTTTTTTTTTTTTTTTTTTTTTTTGTCATTGCAGCACTCCGGTCAAGACCCATTACAACTGGCTTGCATTTCAGAAAAATCTGAATGGACATTCTTTTAAAACCAAGACACAGTTGCGTGATGCAGCGCTGCTTCTACACCATCCCTGCAGTCTTGTGACTAAGCACAAAGAAAAAAACAAAGAAAGAGAGAAATAGAAAAGAAGAAAGACACTGATCCTAGTTTGAGGGCAAGGGATAAATTGGGAGGGTGGAAAAATGTAAAAAAAAAGAGAGAGAAGACATTCCACAGCTGATTATGTCTAACGTGACCCACTGTAGCAAGCAGTCAGCTGACGGGCTGGAACCTACTTTGGGAACACTGCATCACTGTCTCTATTGCTGCGCGGCTGAATAACGCAAAGTAAACTGTTGAGCACAGCCAGGACAAACCTCAGCTCCGCTCTGTTATTAAACACTGGGCCTCTAACATTACAGGCTCCACACTACAGCCTCCACTGACACGCGAGCGTAATTCATAATGTTGGGTAACATGGAACGGCGAGGACAGATGACATGTTGAGCTGCTGTAACGCATTATTGTCTTCGCCTTAAAAAAAGAAACAAACAGCAATAACGTTTGTCTGCCACTGGCGAGCGTAAACAGCTGAAGTTCAGAGTCTCAATTAAGATAAAAAAGTATGGCAACTCAGAGAGTCAGTGTGGACAGCAGACAATCATTAGCGTGAATATATGAACTGTTTACAGTTTGTGTCAGGTGCTCATCGGGGTATAAATAGTGGCGAGAATACTGGCACGGCATTGGGGAGAGTGACTGCAGAGTGAAGGCTGGGTTAGCTCACGTCACTCCAAATGTTGTTTCATAGCTGATAGAATATTTATTAGACTGTATATAAATTACGCCGTCCTTTACGGCTAATAACTTGTTAAATAAAAAAATCCACCGTAGAAAGAGAGCAGTGCAAACGAACCATTAAAAAAAATCCCTAAATTAATAACACTCACGCCTCTTTATAGATGGACTGTAGGCCTCTTTATTAGTGTAGGGTTGAAGTATAGCCTTACAAGGCAGCCTAGATCTTCACATATTAACACTATAAACACGTCAACATAACACAAATC